GAGTCTCTGGGAAATGCCCAAGAGACTCCTAGATGATCCCTGCGGTCAGTGCCATTTCTGAACTGCTTTCACATGGAGGTGAGGCTGAATGCATAGCTCACATTCCTGCCTAAGGAGGGAGAGGACAGAAAGCATGTCTTACGGGATGGGCCCTGGATTAGAGTACTGACCAAGGCAGTACATCTAGACTGCACATCGCTATGTGCTAGGATTGCACCTGATTCAGTCTCTTGTGCCCCACTTCTCCAGGAAGGGTTGGCAGGGTTTCAGCTCCAAGCTCCCCGCCTTTGCAAAGTCAGTAAGGTATATATCAAGCAGTTTGTCCTACCTATCTAGCAGCTGCTCACTTTCTAGGTAGAAGATGCTGACAATTTACACAATGACTTTTTGTTGCTGCAGAAATTGTGTTTGTCAGTGAAATGCGCACATCCAGGTCTTTTCGAGTGAGATATGGAGGAAATCGGGCTGTGGCTGTGCGGGGCCGATTCGTCACTCTGAATGGGATGACCTCGTCCTCCATCTTAACGTTCATTGGCTTCTGCACTCCCATCATGCAACTGTCGAACTATGGAGATGGCATTTCTTATGGTGCTCCATTCCAGAGCCAGCACACACTGGACATGAAGGTCACTGATGTCACAGAGAGGTAAGAGGTGGTTGCTCTTACGATGGTCTTGACTGAATCCCCAGGAGAACAAGAGAATTCAGATTGTAGTTTCACTCCAGAGTACTCCAGCCACAATCCATTCTCTGGAGTCAGGTCTCCCAGGGATGCACACTCCCAGCCCACCAAACAGACACGCACACATTGCAGTGATGGACACCCCATATCCCTGGAAGCCTCTTCTCCTCCTGTCACCAGAAACAAGAAAAGGAATAAATGCCTCTGTGTGCCCCAAAACTTCTAAATGTGGTCAAGTTTTCCCCACCATTCCCTTTATCCTCATATCAGAGAGCCTGTCCTCTTTGCCAACACTCTTTACCTGTCCCTTCCCCAAATGAGAAGCATCTCCAAGAAATGTGTGTGTGTTGACTCGACTGCTACTCCTTTGTGTTCTTCCCCAGTGTCATTTATCATCTTGGCTATCAGAGAGAGGAGCTGATCGGTCAGTCTTGGTACAGCCTTCTACACCCTGAAGATGCTGCAGCAGCAGCTGCCCAACATGAGAGCCTAAGTGAGTGCCAAGCTCCTGGGATGCACATATGGAGGTGGGGATGATGAGAGATTCTTTAGCAGGTTCTGAAAAGCAGAAGTTAACCCTTTTATGTTACAACTAACACTGATCTAATCTTCCAAGCGCCTCCAGTTACGTATGGAGCACTCTGAACCTGTCAGTAAGGCCCTTGCTCTCTGCCAGCAAACCCTCTTCAAAAATTACTACTTCTGTGATTCGTACCAGAAATGAGCTAAGGAAGGAGCAGGCACCTGGGGAGTGGCTGGAAACGGGAAAAGTGGTCACAGATGAAAGGCCTAATTACTGTAAAGTCATTGAGTACTGGGCCAGCAGCTTGCTCTGCTCATATAATGTGTTTGTTTGCACTGTACCTGTCATCACTGTACCTAGGCTCTTGTGTGTTTCACCACCATTAGTATAACACAATTTGATGCATATGGTGGTAAGGGCTTTTCTCTTGGGCCAAACCAAGCTTCTTCTCAAATAATCAGAAGGTCTGCTTATGGACTTTATCATGCTGAGGGAATGACATAAGGCCTGCCACACTGCCAGGGGAACAGGATGTGATACTGTGTACTGCCATCTAGGGAGCCCTGATCACACTGTGTTTGTGATTTCAGTATGTGACACTGGGAAGTGCAATCAGAAGTTAGTAGTTCGCCTGCTTTGCAAAGACGTGAGCTGGACATGGGTGCAAATCATCGCATCAAAGGAATATGAGAGAGGGAGAGAGATCATCACCTGCAACTACTTCTGCCTTAGGTACAACGCCTTGTCCTTCCTAAGCTATTCGTTAAGAAGATACTGCCAGCCCACTGCACTGGGCACTTAATAGAACAGAGTAGAACCAAAACATGCCTGATAGAACTGGCAGATTGGGCACGAAAACACTGGACATCAGATTAATGTGACTGTGTCAGACAGAAGATAATCACCAGATAACATGAATGTAATCTTTATGAGGGAAGTGTGAGATAATGGGGACAAGGCAGAGGACAGGTGTGTGGAGAGGAGTTATAGATGGAGGGAAAACATGAAAGTGTGACAGAAATAAGGTTAAACATTCTACAGGCCAAAATCAGTACCGTATTTTCCGGTGTATAGGGCGACTGGGTGTATAAGACGACCCCCTATCTTTTTAATTAAAAGATAGGGTTTCATCTTATACCCCAGCGCCCCTCCGCCTCCTTTGCTCCCGGTGTCCCTGGTCTGCTGGAGATGGTCCCCAGCAGACCAGAGGCACCGGGA